CATGTTATAAACATTGTATTATTAGATTCATTGTGATGTTGGCTTTCATTGAAGTTTCAATTGTTATACTACTTGATGTTTTGGAAACTTAAACAAGTATAGTAGTTCTAAATATTATGAAATGACAGAAACATTAGGCCAAACAAATTACTTGTGTTTCTACTATCAGAAAAAAATAGGGTAGGTATGTATTAGCTAGGCATTTTATTGTTAATTTGAAAAATATCTTTACTGCGCTAATATAGAGCAGGAGTTCTGACTTTAACAGTGCATATAAAAACTTAAGGGTATTGTAGAACACAAATCTGAGATAAGTCTGGTTAACCACACTGGTGTCGAACACACCAATAAGTATAGTGTGTATAATATATCATAGTTTATACACATCATATTACTATTAGTGTGTCCAGTATCTGTGGGGTTAGCATAAACTCAATATTTGTTTTAAACTTTTAATTGGCCTTATATAATGATCATTTATAGGTCAGACAGGGTTTGGTTTCCAATTCGGAAACTAGACCTGTTAAAACAGTTATCATTTGTAATTTAGAGATTAAATATTTCTAAGCAGAAAAAAATGAACTATAAATATTTTTCAACCTTTTCTGAGTTGTACAATTTTAGAGTATCTTCTGTCTGAAATCTGAACATAACTTGTTTTATGATAAATGTGTAAAACAATTCCTCATACTGGGGTAAAGTTTTTCTATATATAGTCCCAAAAACTACAGATAAAATCCTTGAGCACGTACAAGATACAAAAATATATATTTTACGTCCATTTTGCAAAACATACAACATAAGCTACAAAGACAAAACATGAGTATAATAACAGAGACCAAAATATTACAACATGGAAAAATAAAATAAAAACATGTATGTACATGTAGTATACTGTAAGCTCAGAAAAAGAGTTTATCACTTGGAAAGCACTTAATAGGCACATTGAACACGGTAAGCACATCAGCACATGGTAATTTAAGCACATTTAGAACATTTGCATACAGCACATAAAAAACAAAACCATAACATGGAAAGCTTATTAGCACATAGTAGGCACATTTGCACATTGTAAGCAAAATAAAGGAGTGCAATGGACATCTCCATGTTTCCTGGTTAATTTCTTCTTTATGGAAACAACCAGGGGAGAGTGATGTTCTGCTTCATCTTTTGTATTAATGAAAACCGTGAATATCTAAGTGCGTGTGTTTAAACTAATTTTGTTTTGTTTTTACTGGTACCTTTTTATGTACACATGTTTTACCACCTAAGGAATTAGATGTCTTAAGCCCCCATATGATGTGCTGTTATAAGTTGAATTTAATGTACATTTTGTTTATATTTAGTTCTGCTACCAAAGAGATTGACTTATTGAAATGTTTTTGAAACATTTTAATGAACTCCTCAGCTTTAATGCCTTATTTCTCACTATACAAGCTCATATTGCTATGCCTCCTATTTGTTTGAATATCATCTCTAAACATTATTGCTGGTGCAGAAATTATATGGTAACTATGTTCTATTTTAGGGGGGGAAAGCAATCAATA